TGATAGAATTACATATCAGACAGCCACCTTCTGTAGCATATCCACTGTGTTAACTTGATGTCAACAGTGAGTGAAATATTGCTCCACATGCCATGATCAGTTAATACGTACTTGCCTTAACACTCTTAATTCATGTCTTACATCCTTCACGAGACTGACAAGTGTCCCACAAGGAGGTGGTCCATGAGGCTGACAAGACTTCTCAGAAGAGGTCACATGTCCTAAAGTTGCACAGTCATTGGTCTCATGCGGGCTCTGCAGCAATTCCCATGTTCACATTTCACAGGGACTAATCAGGCAGATAGTTAGGTGCTAACTCACACAGCACAAGTGAGAAGAAGCAGTGACTGGTGGAGCCAGGGACAGTACGGGAGAGGCCGCACATCGGAGAAGCCTCTGAGCTCTGCTCAGTTGGATGCAAGTGCTATATCTCAGCAATCATTGTCAAACAGGAGAGTCATGGAGCAGCAGCAGAGAATGTGAGATGCACTGTCATGGTTTCCAGACTCGCTTTACATATTCACCGAGGGATTGGGAGAGTCTGACTCAAGCATGATTGGATGATGTCACCGACCTTTGGGATGATGTCTTCGTCCATGGAGAGAATGGCCACCTGCAAGAAGCTTCAAACACAGCAATCGCTGAGTAAATGTGGGCATATATTTAAACCAAGATGCTGGATATACTCCACAGATAAGGTAGCATCTGTACGACAGAAATTGTTTTAGATCAGAAACCTTTCATCGACCGTATACAGAGATGTATGTAGCTTCTCATACAGGTAAGAAGATGGAATTCAAAACATGGCTTCGAACACTTTGACTTCTCATTCAATACCTCCTCATTCAGAGCACTTTGTATTTATTCACTCATGGGAGATGGGCGTTGGTGGTTGGCCAGCACTTATTGCCCCTCCTTAGTTGCCCTTGAGCAGGTGGTAGGGAGCTCCTTGTGCTGCAGTGATCCGGTCTGCTCCTGCACAATATAGGCCGAGTAACCTGTACTTCCTCTTGCTTCACATTTCTCTATTTCTTTTCTCAGCCACATCTAAAGCTGAATGTTAGAGATCACACCGTGTGGAGCCGGAGGAAAACAGCAGGCCGGGACCTGAAAAGTCAGCTTTTCTGCTCCTCTGATGCTGCCTGGCCTGCTGTGTTCCTCCAGCTCCACACTGTGTTATCTCTGTTTTTGACTCTTTTTGACCACCTCCAATGATGTGATTCCCTCTCCCACCATCACTTATATCTGGCACGAAATTAAGAAGTGCACAAAAACCCTGCTGTTGCTCCCTGGCTTGCTGTCTGTGGGAACTCTTCAATATGATTGACTGCTTAGCCTGCTCCATGGCATCTCTATTGCTAGATTCCAAAAATCCACTATAGGCAGTGTCAAAAACAAATCCACGCCAGGAAATGTGACTCCATGCCACACAGCTCACTTGATCTTGCGGGCAGCTTTCTTAAGATCAGTGAATATTACCACTTCATTGCTCACAGCAAAATCCAGGTCAATGAGTTACAATAGAATGATAGAATCTCTACAGTGTAGAAGCAGGACATTCATCCATCAAGTCTGCACTGACCCTCCGAAGAGTATCCCACCCAGACCCAGCCTCCTACATTATCCTTGTAACCCTGCTCCAAAGACCTGTAGCTCTTTTTCACAAATGTATATCCTAGCTAATTAAAAAATTATATCACATTATTTATTGTTTATTTATATTCCTCTTGCCTTGCTTTCAGAGTATTCTGAAGATTAGTTATAACTTCCCAGAAACTACAGGACAATCCTGAGGGCTTGACAACAATACTGTTGAGTTCCTTTGCTTTTATAACAGCAATCTGAAAAACCAATGAATGTGATTTGATTGATGGCTGATGTAGGATTGTTCTTTGTATTAAATCATTGCTGCTCCTGTACAATTTGAAGCAAACTATATTGACTCTTGCTTTGTTCAACAATACATGAAATTATTGATCTGTCTTACAGAAACATGATTTAAAACTGGAATGATAAGTAGTGGAAAAATAGCATATCCTACCTTCCAAAGCAAAGATTTGTTCTCCGAGGGCTTCGGCTATCGTTACCAATGCTTTTTCATCTGATACATTGAAAAAATGTTTATCTTTAGGTGAACTTGCGATAAACTCTATTTCTTTTAGAAATCTTTCAGCACTCTGATTTCCTCTGTTGTAGCTGCCAAGCACCTAAAGTAGAATGCAGGTGCTGATTAAAACTTGTAGAATCCAATGCGGTTACTGAAATGTCAGTCCAACGTTTGTATGATATAATTAGCTAATTATCAGAATTTCAGATTTACATACGCACTTTTGATGAGTACAGAGTTAAATTTAATACATAATCTTTCAATCTCATGGATAAGTCCATTGGTCTGGTTATTATGGAATTCTAAGGTAAACCCATGAAATATCCATTGAATATCTTCACGTTTCATTAGACACTGGGTAAAAGAGATGAGATAAAAATTGAACTGGATATCACAGCATCAAACAGTGTTGTTATTCAATAGGTATGAGATGTAAAATGCAGATGAAAGATATCTGACCTCCAGCAATTTTCCAAACTGAATATTGTCAAACATTTATGTCCAACATCAAATTGGGAATTCTTCCTCACATTTTTTTATTTCACTCATGGGACAAGGGCGTCACTGGCTGGCCAACATTTATTGACTGTCCCTAGATGCCATTGAACTGAGTGGCTTGGTCAGCCATTTCAGAGGGCAGTTGAGAGTCAGCCAGATTGCTGTGGGCCTGGAGTCACATATAGGCCAGATCAGGTAAGGATGGTTTTCCCTTCCGTGAAAGACATAAGTGAATCAGGTGGGTTTTTCCTGACAATTGACAATGGTTTCACAGTCATCAGTAGATTCTTCATACCAGATCTTTTTTTAAATTGAAATTCCACCATCTGCCATAGTGGCATTCAAGCATGGGTCCCTGAAACAGTAGCTGAGTTTCTTGGATTAATAGTCCAGCGATAATATGTCTTTGCTGCTTCCATTTATCATTTAAAACATTGTCCATCTCTGCACCAAACATCTCTTGGTGTACATCACTCGCCATCAGCTTGTTGAAGTGCACATTTTTAATTTGTTTTGGATGTACAAAGCATAAACTAGCTATCTAAAATAACAAATATTTCCTGTAATATTGTGAAGTGTACAGTGATTTGACCTCTCAAGGATTTGATTTCTGCTGATGGAAACTATCAGTGCAATAATTAAAGATGGTACCATAAGGTGATTTTGGTGAATTTTAGTAGGTTTTTAACGAGAGAAAGATCTTTTTGTAATGTCGTCTGCCATTCACTTTTAACTGGATGGGGATGATAACATTCTCTACCAAACAGTTTCACATCTCAGAGTAACGAACAATCTACAGTAATCAGTATTTTGAGACAAGAATCAACTGACTTTACATCTTCTTAAACAAACCATTCTGCTAGTGGACATAATGAGATGAGAGTTGACCTCTGCCCTCAAAGGGAGGAAACCTGATTGGCCAGCAGCTCTAGCGGCAGCAGGATTGAGTTGAGTGTGCTTCTGGGACTACAAGAAATTGCCGAAAAAAAGACATGACAACCAGATTCAGGAAAGTCTGAGGTTTTGGACAAGAAGGTATTAGGATCTAGGCAGGAATATGAGGGGTTAGGATTTGGTGCTCAGAAGAATAGATACATGGTGGGTATCAAGGTTATTTTTTCAAATATGCACAGCATGATCCCAAAGTGGGTAAACCTCTCTTGCCCACCATTTCACCAAAAGCCAGTGAAAAAAGCCTTTCTGCTCCTATGATGCTGCTTGGCCTGCTGTGTTCATCCAGCCCTGCACCTTGTTGTCTCGGATTCTCCAGCATCTGCAGTTCCTACTATCCCTGAAAAAATCAATCTGCCCATTCTCGTCCATCTGCTGCCGACCAGTGAATTTTAATCACCAAAGTGGATTAAGAGCCTTAAATGAGCAATAATTGGCCACTTAAGGGTCTCAGTATGCCTAAGAATGGGCAGCCTCAAGGACATTTGACCCAAGTCACCTACCCCTCCTTGTATAATGAGGTGGGTTTGGCTGTGGGTGGGAAAACAATGAAATACAACCCCTGATGTATTTTATATTTTCCCTGAAAAACATCGCTAAAAACACATCTCATGAGGGGGTAATATCCAGCTTAGCAGATGTGGTTCTAGCAATAGATCAAACAGCATTACAGGATAGAAATGAGATGATAACTTTAAAATAAGACATATTTTCCCATTGACAACAATAGTGAGCATGCCACAGTGTCGAAGCTCCAAAAGGATCTATTTCGCAAAATTTTGATCTCTTTATCCTTGCACAGGATGTGGCCACCACTTGAAAGCCTTACATTTGTTGCCCGTCCATAATTGCCCTTGAACTGATTGGTCATTTCAGAAGGCATTGCACTGGGTCTGGAGTCACATGTAAGCCAAACCAGGTAAAGAAAGCACATAAGAAAACCACACTGGATTTTACCACAGTGATCACCAGTGCTTGATCACCATTAGAATACCATTAAAATCCAGATTCATTTGAGTTTAAATTTCACCACCTTTTATTTGGTTGCAAGTCTCTAGAACATTAAAATATAAGTAAAATACTGTGGATGCTAAACATCTGAAATCACCACAGCAAATACTGGAGAAACTCAGCAAGTTGGGCAACATCTGTGGAGATAGAAACAGAGCTAACATGTTGAGTCTGATATGACTGTTCTTCAGAACTGAAAGAGTCTGGAAAATTGTTACAGAGGTAGTAGGAACTGCCGATGCTGGAGAATCTGAGACAACAAGGTGTAGAGCTGGATGAACACAGCAAGCCAAGCAGCATCAGAGGAGCAGGAAGGCTGACGTTTCGGGTCTGGACCCTTCCTCAGAAGAAGAGTCTGGAAAATAGTGTTTTTCATGCTCTTGACAGAGGCAGAGAAGTAGTGAGTGGAAAACTGAAGGTATTGAATATCAATGACGAAGGCAATGCTAATAGTGGTAAAGGAGACATAGAGATGTAAATGTTTGTAATTCGTTGGTATGCAAATTAGGAAATGGATCAGCTCTATTGAGAGCAAAGTCAAGAAGACACAAACAAGACACAGTCAGAAGAGTGCAGTTGTACTTAAAATGGAGGACAGATGACATCCTCTGAAGTTGTGGAACTCAGCACTGAGTCACAGAGGCTGTAAAAAGGCAAATGCAATAAATGAAGTGTTGTTCCTCCAACTTGCACTGGGCTTCGCTGGAACACTTTGGCAGACCCAGAACAAAACTATTATCATGGAAGCAAAAGATAACAAGGTGTAGAGCTGGATGAACACAGCAGGCCAAGCAGCATCAGAGGAGCAGGAAAGCTGACCTTTTGGGTCTGGACCTTTCTTCAGCAAAATGGTTTACTGAAAAGGAAAGCACTTATGGAATGGAGGTGCTCTAGAAAACCCTCATCCAGACTGCATTTGTCTCATCATTGTGCATCACTGACTGCATTGTGAGCAGCGGATATGGTAGACAGGTTTGAAAGAAATACAAGTAGAATATTGCTCCACCTGGAAGGTGTTTTAGGGCCTTGGAGGAGGAAGTATGTGAATGGGCAATTGTTACAGCTTCTGCAATTGCATGAGAAGGTTCATGGGGGAGTGAAGAAGCCTCAGATGAGCCTCATGAGGGTGTCACAGAAGGACCAGCCCTTGCAGAAAACTGACAGTGGAGGGGAGAGAAAGATGTCTTATGTGTGATATACCATGGGTGATAGAAATGGTAGATGGTGATTCATTCAATGGTGGAATGGAAAATAAGGACAAGGAAACCCCTGGTTGTTCTGGGAGGGACCAACGTGAGAATGCAGAAGTGTGGGAAATGGACTAAATGTGACTGAGAGTCTGTCAATCATCATGAGGGGAATGATCAGTTGAAAAGAGGACATGTCGAAGGCAGCAATCGAAGGTAGCATCATCAGAACAGGTGTAACCAAGATGGAGAAACTAGGAGAATGGGATGGAGTCCTTGCAGGAAGCAAGTTGTGAGCAAGTGTAGTCCAGGTAGCTGTTAGAATTGGTGAGTTTGTAATGGATAGTGGTGGCCAGCCTATCCCCAGAAATGGAAATAGTGGAGTCAAGGAAGGGAAGGGAAGTGTAAGAGATGGATCAGGTGAAGGTGAAAGCAGGGTGGAAATTGCAAACAAAACTGAGAGCAGGAAGCAATCTTGAAGGCATCAATGATGTATCAGGGAAAGAGTCACGAGTGGGGGCCTGGGTAGGACTGGAACAAGGAATATTTCACACACCCCACAAAGAGACGGGCACAGCTGGGACCCAGCTTCTTCGGGACCAAAAGGAAGTGTCTGAGAGTTGGCGTGCGGCCTTTGCAAGATGAAGGTGAGCACACCTGCCGTCAATGGCACTATCCTTACCGGGAGGCTCGACAATGAAATTATGGGAGTGCAGCAAGTTTAGAGGAAGACAGGTTAGATGGGTGAGGGGAGCATAGAAATTCAGATAGTTGATGTGAGGCTGGCTGTTTTCAAAGAAGAGATCAACTGCAGGTAAAAGACCAGAGGGAGAGGTCCAGGTAGAGGGGTGTACTGAAAATGAGCAAAAGGTTCTGTGGGATGGGGAGAGGACTCCTCTCCAAAGAAGAGGGCACTAAGAGGAAGATGATGGATGAAGACTTCAATGTCATTTCATGCCCAAAATTCATTGAAGTCAGGGCATAAAGGGATAAAACTAAGTCCTCTGTTGAGCACAGATCATTCAGCATCAGAGAGGGGAAGGTCAGATGGTATAGTGAATGCACAGCGAGGGTTGGGGTTGGAAGAAGAAATGGAGTCAGTGGGAAAGGGGTGGGAGGAAGAATCCAGAGGAGTGTCACACAGCCTGTAAGTTTTTGTGGCTGTGGTTCCTTGACATCTGAAAGGAAGTAAACGTTTCTTTTTAAGGCATTGAGTGAGATGAAGAACGATTTGGAACTGGGGTGTAGGACAGCTTTGAAATAGTGTGAGGTGACTCTGATGGAGAGCATAGTTAAGAATGTGTGTGTGGCAGCACTTGGCATTGAGAGTGGATCTCAGGCTGTGGCCAGAACAGTTGTCTGAGGAACTTTGTATGTCTCAGTAACAGCTGTAATTCTGGTCGGGTTTGAAACATGAAGGATGATACATCAGTTGGAATTTGTGTGGGTTAAGGCAAAGATAGTTACTGAGGAAGGAGACTGGCTGGGAAAGTGAGTTTTGGCAAACAGTGTAATCAGACATTAGAAGCAAAATAGAAAGCAATGATGGCGAACAATCCAAAAGATTTAATTGGAAATCCAGTTGCAGAGAAGAGCAGTATTTCTTCAATGAGGGTGTACTTGGAAAAGAAGTGGCATGGAATTAAACACTCAAATAAAAGGGGAGTAGGAGTGAGTGGAACAGATATTGAAGACGGTGAGACCAATTGAAGAACTAAATGTTTAACTCAAATCTAATGCTTCTGTCAAGGCATATCGCTCACAGAGAACATGACTGATGGATGAGAAACTAAGAAACAATGGATTATGATTTCATCAACCATGTTCACTGTAAGTGCTGCTTCTTATTGGAGCCAATCAGGGAATTGGTCTGCAAATGTTGTATAAATTGAACGAGCACATCAGGTACCTACCGCAATAGCAAACCTCCGAATTTTATCCTTTTCACAGTTTTCGATTACATTCTGTAGATTGTAGCTGTCATGTGATTCACCATCAGTTACCACAACCATCACCTTCGAAACTCCTTTTCGCATTCCTCGTGCTTCTGTGAATTCCTTTGTCCTGGGGTGAATACAGTTGATTTAGGTTCAGATTTACACTGTTACAGTCAAAGTAATTTGAATTATTGTGACCGCTTCGATATTTTCAAAGCTAAAGCTTCGTTTGACAATTGCAAGACCATCTGTCTTTACAGGTAGTTCTGCTATAAGGCGTGTTACATTGACATGAATTGGCTGTAACGTGATTGAAGAATGGTGGACACTTGGATAACACAAACTTTCTGCTGTACAAGTACAGCGATTTTCTATAGCGATTTCCCTGTAATGTGATTTTCTATGGTGATTTTCCATAGTACAACTGTCTATAGCGCAAGCTTACGCAAGAACACAACTATCGCGTTAGAGGAGAACTATCTGTATAAACTTCCCTTTCCATCATTTTAACATTGAAGGCTGCTGCAGAGATAGAAAGGTGAAGTAGACGCCTTTCACTTCAATAAATATGGGACACTCTTCCTTCAACAGGATCTCTAGTACCACTTCCAAGAAATGATGTGTGTTCTACTGATGCTCACATTCGCACATTCTCTTCAAGAAGCTGTGATTCTACATTCTCTTTGCTCTCTTTGCAAGAAATTGGTATTGTCTCAAATGGCTTGATTTCTATCTCTGGTGTGTGAAGCTTCTATTTAGAACTTGCCAGCGACAAAGATCATCACATTTTTTCTCAGCACCACATCACACAGTGACTATAGGAAATGATTCCTCCCCCATGGTCAGATTATTTACTCTGACCTGTATCCAATTAGTACCCAACAGGAAACTGTAACCACTTCAGTCATTTCCTTAGAAATCTCACCACGGATAACTTGTAATGATCATGTCAGAGCTAAGAGGAAATAAAGAACCATTTATCTGTCTTAATGTGCCTTTTGGAATGATATATTTCTCGTCTTTTGGTAGTATAGAACTTGTGCTTTGCTGAGGAAAATACACATATTGTCAAAGATTTTCTTCTTACACTCTTCAACAGAATTTGCAAGAAATATCAAAATAAAGATAAAACATCATTTCAGCTGTATGAGAGCAGAGTGCTGATTGGATGGCAAGTCGACCAAAAATAATTGCCGAATGCTTATTCATGAGTTTATATGATATATAACGAGAAATGATCTGATATTATCAAATGAGCTGGTATTATTCCACAGGCTGGCTTTGTTGTGCTCTATTTCACCATAAAACTTGCATAGTGAACAAACAGCTCAGGCCCTATTTGTAAGTTGAAGATAAGGTCAGTCTTACAGCGCATGGAACAGTAAGCTTCTCAACAAATATTTTGACCAATGAAGGTAGATTTGTGGTCAACCATAGTACAGAAACCCTTGACCTGTCATGTGATTCACCGTCAGTTACCACAACCAATGACATTCAGGCAAGGAAGCTCTTTGTTTCAGTAAAGAACTTTGAAGACTTGCAATGGTTCAAGAAACCAGCTCACCATCACCTTCTCAAGAGCAACTAGGTACAGATAATAATGCTGGCCCAGTCAGCAATGCCCATGTCTTATGGGTAATTAAACAAAATGTAAATGTTTTTATATTCTATTTCTCCAGGTGGGTTGTAGGCATTTCCCTGACAGAGCATGTTTTAAAAAGGAACATGGTAGTCGAGTGGCTTTTGTAAAGGCTATCAAAAGAAGGTAATGAGTTCATTAAACAAACTTAGTCCTGTCATAAAAATGAATTCAATAAGTATGTTAGTTTAAGTTCCGAAATGACTCCTTTAAAGCTGTTGGATCGTGATTAATATGTCGCTAATACCCTTCAGGAAATGGCATTTCCTGCTCCAACCTGATCTTATTTATGTGAAATCTGTTCCATTTTAGGCAGTTGATTCCTACTGTCCTTGATGATGAATAGCACATACTATGCAGGTTATTTCAGTGCAACAATTATCATGTAATCTGAATAAATTTTATTTCCGTGGAGAACATGGTGCTTCTGGCCCTTTTGTTCGAGAGGAATCAGTAATGCAGAAATGATGGTGAGTCATTTTCTTGATGTTGTAGTTCCATGTTGTGTAAACCAACTCACACACTGTCAGGGAAGGGTTTGCAGACTTCTGATCCAACAACATTGAAGGAGCAGTGGAAACCCCAAGTTAGACGTGCAGCTTTGAAAAGGGATTGTAAGTGGCAATGTTCCCACTCACCTGCTGTTCTTGTTCTTCTGGGTGATGGATGTTAGGGGTTTCGAAGGATCACCGAGGAATTTCACCATCTGCCACGGCAGGTTTGAAACCAGGTCCCCAGAAAATTACCTGGGTTTCTGGATTAACAGTTTAGCAATAATACCAGTAAGCCATCATCCCCCAAAGGTTTCCATAAAGCAATGGTTCAATCTGCTGTCATTGTGTGTTTATGGTGGAAAGAATGAATGAAGATGTGGTATTTTCCCAGATGACCATACCTGTCACTCTGTAGAATTTACCACCTCTACTAGCGTGTGGTCCTTGTTAAGGGTTGTTTGAGGTTGCTCACAGTCACCAACCCTCCTTTGCCTTAGCTTTGTATTGGGGCTAACTGATGATTTGTGGGAGAGGATATGTCACTGTAGAATATCAGCAGATGCTATTATATCTGCTCTTGGATAAAAAGAACGTTGATTGCATTCAGCAATGAGCACAAGAACATCAATGCTACCTTTATGCTAAGGGAAGTCACCCTCATTTTTCCATGTCTTTGAAAAACAGCAGTAGAACACAAAATTTGGCTTGGGTATTGTTTGCTAAATCAGGTGAACATTATTCAAGAAGGCAAATCGCAATTATGACAACTTTTTTACTCAACTTTTCAAGTAGTAGAAAATATAAAATAGTTTGAAATTATGGGACTAAAATATAATGTGACTAATATTCTTCTAAGAAACAGCTTCCTTTTTCAAACCACTTACACATGTTACCCTGGCCATCTGGTTTTGATGACTTCAGAAGGAATCTCTTATTTGAAGAAGGTAAGTTAAAATGTGACCAGGATCAAGCATAATGGATAACGGTTTGAAAAAATAACATAATAACATCCTTCCTATAGCAGGGTGATCAGAATTATATGCAGTGCACCAAATGTGACCTTACCAATGTCTTGCACATCCATAACACAACTTCCCAAATCCTGTACTCAATGCTCTGACCAATGAAGTCAGAAATCATGCAACACCAGGTTATGGTCCAACAGATTTTTTTTTTTGTTTTCTTCTGCTCCAAAAGCTTGTGTTTTCAAGTAAACCTGTTGGACTATAACCTGGTGTTGTGTGATTTCTGACCTTGTCCTCCCCAGTCCAACAGTGGCACCTCCACATCATGGTTGACCAATGAAGGCAAGCGTGCCAAATGCCTTTTACACCACCCTGTCTACTTGTGATGTTTTCAAGGAATTATGTACCTGCACCCCTAGGTCCTTCTGTTCAATAACACTCCTCAGAGCCATACTATTAACAGCGTAAGTCTTGCCCTGGTTTGACTTTCCAAAATGCAACACTTCACATTTATCAAATTAAACTCCATCTGCTATTCCTTCGCCCACTGGCTGAGTTGGTCAAGATCCTGTTGTACTCTTAGATAACTTTCTTCAATGTCTGCTATACCACCAATTTTGGTGTCATCTGCAAACTTACAAACCATACCTCCTATATTCTCATCCGAATCGTTTATATAAATGACCAACAACAATGGACCCAGCAGTGATCCCTGCAGCACACAGCTGGTCACAGGCCTCTAGTCTGACATGGATTACTTCAGTATCTCAGGAGTCACGAATGGTACTGAACATTATGCAATCATCAGTTAACATCCATGAAATATGGATGAGTAATCCACAAAATATGCTTTAATCACAACCGATGTTTGATGTGTTCGGTGGGGTGTTGTTTATCTGGTACTCATATTTGCCTCATATTATGTTTGGGATGTTGTAAGACCTGGTCTAGCCTGCATGTCACTCAAGACGCACAGCAATGTGGGTTACTGTTTACTATCCTCTGAGAAATTTAGGATGGGCAATAATTACTGTCCTAGCCAGCTGCAGCCACAGTCCATAAATGAACAAAACAAATGTGTCACAGCATCTTGCCAGCTGTCCACATATGTGGATTATGTTCTTAGACCTGCAGCTTTAGGACCCTGGCAGTCTTATTTAGATAGCAGACAAACAGATGTCTATCTGGGGAAGGGAGTGCCAGGCTCAGTACTGCAGACATGAAAATTATCCAGGAACATGAAAATAATTCAACAACAGAAGATTGCACCCGTTGTTGCTTTATGTTGGATCAGGTTAATTTTGTTGCATTTATACAATAAGCAAATATATCTGGCTTAAAGAATGGCAGATAGTCTTTTGAGCATTTTAACTTGCTCATTACTGGGTAGGTCATATGATTGGATTTGCTGATTACTATGCTGACGAAAGACAGACACCAGACTGCACTTCTCCAACCTGTCATGCATGTACACACACAAAATTAGCTACAAGTTTAAGACCTGCTAATATAACTAACTAAAATGAACATGTCAGCTGCATTAATCACTTTATTAAACTAAAAGTTGCTAACAATGCTGTACTAATAACCAATAGATGCAGTACAATACTTAATAACAATAAGAATAAGTTAAAATCAAGGTACCAACCATGGAAATGACTAGTTTTTGTCTATTCCTGGTTGCATTAACAAGTTTCTGCTCGCCAAGAACTTAGAACTCTGCATCCTCTTGAAGAATTGATGCAAGTCTGGACATTCTGTGCTGACTGTGTATACACTGTTCACTTCCAACCTGCTTGTTTTATTTTTCACAGTAGTCATCTTGGCAGCAAAAGTTCATTTTGGATGAGCATTGTTGCTTGTCGTAAAGAAGATATAGGTGCTGATATTATTCATGTTCTTGAATGTTTTCCCTGTGCTTTGCAGAGTTTAATCACCGATCTCCTTATTAGTCGAGCAATGCTTTAATTCAGGATATAATGCCTTTGACAATGCTGAATTCTTCAGACAGACCATCAATGTCAGATCA